CAGAATAAAATAAGTATACTTAGTTTTAAGTATTAATGTCACACAATCCCACTAAACAGCGTTTAATATCTGCAAAGATTACTCTGCAATGAGAAAATAGCAACCATACAAATTTTTAAGTAATACATATCTTAGTGTTATGTGATGTTTCAACTATTTATCGGTATTTAAAGCGAGTACTTTAAAATAGCAGAGTGAACTTATTAATACAAATAAGAAGTTATACAAAAAATTCTATAATAAATTTCACTTTCGATTAAGCTATTGTTTTTTAAAATAAGAGCTGTCTTACATGCTCTCAGTTCATTTTAGTTTAACAATTCACTGACGAATCGTATAAAGTATTGATTTTTATTTTTTGTGAAAATGCAATCTAGTTCAATGGTAGGTTCTTTAAAGGTAGGACAACGTTTCGCGGGCCTTGAGTAAAATGGTTCACACTCAATCGTGCGTACACATTCATACGTACATACAGCTACAAAATTCTTTTTATTTTGTATATTAAAATAATAAGTGAATTATAAATGTAAATATTTGAATTATAGTATACTAGAAGACCCGGCGAACTTCGTTTCGCCCTATAATCAAGAAATATCTGTTACGTTTTTTTATTTATATTTTTGGAGTTTACCTATTAAAGCCATAAATCTCCGTGTTTTGAAGTGATTAGGAATGATTAATAGTTAATATGAGAGTTACACTGAGCTAGCAAAATAATAATTGTCAACGTTACTACTACACTTGATGCACAAACAATAACGATGGCCGACAACTGTGTAGGGAGTGAGAGAAGTCTAATTGTGTGAGAGAAACAGAAGACCGGCTTCGTTCTCATCCCTACTCCGTGCTGTTTACTGGGTCAGAAGTGACACCTGTAGATATCTGGCGGGGATAACTTATTAAATGACGATTGATCAGTTATCGACCGGAGATGAAAAATGATTAAATTACTAAAAATAGCTATTAAAAAATAAGGGTTGATCGTAGAAGGGTGAAAATTTAGGATTGTATGTATTTTTGTACGTTGTATCATAAAAAAATAGTAATTAAAAATTTTGTCTAAAAAATAAAAAAAAAAAATTTAGGGGTGGACTACCCCTAACATTTAGGGGGATGAAAAATAGATGTTGGCCGATTCTCATAGCTACCGAATAAGCACAAAAAATTTCATCAAAATCGGTCAGGTTGTTTCGGAGGAGTATGGGCACGAAAACTGTGACACGAGAATTTTATATATTAGATTCACTAAAGAGTCTCTTTAACATTAAGGGGATTACCATACACATATTAAACTAAGTATTATTTAAAACTCGAAATTCTGGAGATTAGGTAGGGTAAAAATAACGTAATTAAATAACAAATATGTATTATTATTATATATAACAGTATTTTGCGAAAGTTATGAATTAAATAACTGTACTAAAATTCTTATTTTCCTCATATATAAAATGAGATTCTTTACATACTCTCTTTAATTTTAGTTGTACCTAGATATATTTTATTAAATAAAATAGAAATATTTTTGTGTAAGAATTCAGTATTCGACAGCTTCTTCTGACTTATTACATTTATACAGGTGTCTCGAACATTTTAAGGGCCTAACAGGTTTATAAAGAATTTGTCAAAAATATGTATCTAATTGAATTGACATGAATGACTGTTTACGAAGTTATTAAAATTTTAAAGACATACAAATTGTACATGTATAAATATTAATATTTTATTCCCTATTTGTATACGATACTGTTCACTGTTTCATTTGCACATTAATTTATTCAACATTTCGATTTGTTTCTTAAATTTTTAGAAGAACGATCAGGTTAAGTATTTAAACAATTTAATGTTAAATACATAGGGTACAGCAGTAATCTCACTGGAAAATCTGGAGTGGAAGTTAAATAACTATATTTCTCATTTATCGAAAACGATAATTTGTCAAAGATTTAAATTATAGCCGAAGATTAAACATATTTATGTGCAATAAAAAACTATGACTATATTGACTTAAGTAAGCTTATAAGGATTCTTAAAATAAAAAGTTATTAACACTTTTATTTTAATTAAATTAATAGACCTTGTGTAAGAGGAATTAAAAATTTATAGAAAATGAGATGAAACTACTCAGCATTCCATGGATTCACCGTGCGGGTGCAGGGAGAGGAGCTTCAACAGTGCCTGGGACTTGCGACCCAAGTGTAGGTTTAAGGGGCCCCTTAACTAACGCGCGTTATACGCTCACCTCCACTGTCCAAGCTCCTCTCCCTACCTAACCAAATTTGAAAAGAACCTACTAGGGCTGCCTTCGATATACGTTCCAAGAATGCATTAATGTGAGTTCTGGACAAGCCCAAGTCCTTTAGTAGGTTGTAGAGAGATTTCGCTGTTATACCTCTCGCTCCCACCTCTACCGCGTACAAATCTACTACGAACCTATTTCGAGTGAGTTCGTTTGTGAGCTCGTAATATTTGTTGACCTTGATGGTATGGTCTTTGGGGATGTTGGTTTCCCAAGGGACCGTAAGCCCTATCATCACTACGCGCTTTAAAATTCGCGAAAACAAAAATATATCCGGTCTGGAGGCCGACGCACAAATATCCTCGGGGATTTTATATTGTTTTTCATACGTGTCCATCATTATAGTCCAATCCGACGCCGCTTTAAGGATGGAGTAAGGCTTGACGTTTGATTTTGTAGCCCTAGTGCCTTCTCTCACAAAACCTACTGATCGTTCGTTTGTGGTTATTTCCTTTTGCGCTCTGGCTACCGAAAGACTAACCGCTTCACGTATGACTTCTAGAACCCTATATATTTACATTATATTTACATTTTAAAACCGTTCGCGTTCTGAGAAATTATAAATTAATATAAGATTAAATCCATTCAGCAGTGACAGTCTACACTGTGAACTGTTTGTATTTACATGAAAGCCGCAAGCAAACCATTACGCTCCTGACAGGTAATGCTGTTTATACATATATTACTTCTATATTCTCACTTCACTTATTATGCTCTACGGTTGTTGACTTTCAAATTATTTTATTCAATATATTTAAAAATCTCACTGAATTTATTTCCTTTTCTATGTATTTATTAAATCATATTTTTTTAATTATTTCTATCGGTTTTTCTGTGCAACCACCAATCTTTGTGAGTGTCGATTACCGTTAGATGCGAAAAACTTTCTTTAGTCAGCTATACATATATTACTAACTAGATAACCCGGCGAACTCCGTTTCGCCACCAGAAGGCTTTTATATAACATTTCGTTTGGTGATTAAAAGATGAAGAATTTTAGTTTTATATTTGAAAAGGAAAATTTTTATTTCATTTCACAACAGTAATGAATTCATTTCGATTACAAAAATGAAGTGTTATTTAGTTGAACTTCTCTAAGTAAATGAAAGTGAATCCAAAGTAGATACCGAATCGAAGCGTTATACGTGTCCGCAAATTATCCTTTTCATTGAAGTGGTCCTTTGTAAACCACATTTTTTGTTTTTTGGTCTAACTTTAACACAAATAAAGCGGATGGTTTCCAAACACGTGAACACGCAAAATATAACTGCCCATGTATAAAACAATGATTTTCTAAATTTATCCCCCAAATACTAAATGGTTTTAGGAGTTCAAACTACAAACACAATACCGGATTGTCACATGAAATTAACTGAGCAAAGAACAATGAGTAGCTGTCAAACAATGTATCATACACCGGCGCCATCTACTTAAAATATTGATTTGTAGTATAGTCAGGATGGAAAACCAGACTTACTTTTAAATAGTAGAAGATCTCTTACAAATATCTAATTGTCATCATTACGTCATTAGTCATTACATATCTGTCATTATACGTCAATTGAATAGCTGTCAATTGTGTTTCGTTATTCCACGTTTTATAGTGACTGACGTTTCATGTCAAGTCCCACGGCAATGCTGTCGAACGGGATAAAAAGTATCCTATTGCAATTTCCTGGCTCTAAACTACCTCCCTGCCAATTTTCAGCTAAATCGGTTCAGCCGTTCTTAAGTTATAAGTGGAGTAACTAACACGACTTTCTTTTATGTATATATATGTAGATGACGAAATTAACGCGGATGAAGTCGCGAGCTAAAAGTAGTTTTTTATATAAGACGATAATTTATGTATTTTTTATGTATTTCCAAGAATATTTACATGTTATATTCTATCAATGTCAATACCACGTTACTTTAATCAAGTTAAGCAAAAAAATCTCTTGAGGTTATATTTAAATTGTCGAAGCTGAGAACTAAATTTCTCTAAATTAACACGACAACATTTTTTAATAGACAGATAGTAATTGATCTAACTACCATCATTTTTTCAGACGATTTATTTCATTAAAATAAAGGTAAAATTTATTTTAAAATTTAAAACTTTGTTCCTGTGTATAGGATTTATAAAATTAACGTTTTTCACTGTTTCGAGCAATTTATTATTATTTGAAAGTACTGTTTTCGAAGTTTTACTGTTTTTAGAAGATAATTATAACTTATCACTAAATGATTTGCAAACCGTAACCACAAAAAAATCAACCACTAAACTGTAAAAATAACGAATCTATATAGTTCCTATTCGCTAAATTATATTTATTATGTAAAGATTTTAATTATTTATTAGTGAAACGAAAACTGTAAATTCCTTCTTAAGAGATTATGGAAGGAGATGAACGTAGCAACAACAGGGACATAATTTATATGGTAAAGAAGTATTATATAATATAATATATAATACATGAAATTATTTAATCTACGCGTTACTTGACTTTCACTTTCCCGTACACCTGTAACACATCAATTCGCTAAAATTCCTTACTGTTTATCACTAAATGTCAAACATGACATTAGACTACCTGGCTTTAGCATGAACTGTAATTTTGATGAAAACCGAACAACATTTTCGTTAATAATTAATTTTGTATGGCTTTTTTTATTATTTCAGAGATAAAAAAAGATACAATGAAATCAATTAATATATCTATTAGTTAATATCGAATCTCATTTTCTCTGTTATACATATGTATGTGTCCGGATAAGGGAAACACTTGCTTGAAGTACCAACCGGTCGCTGTGAAACAAGAAGTTTCATTGTTGTGTTCGTATAAGCAGTGCTATAACCGCTAGCACTTTACCTACTCGGTACACCTAAACTCACTGATACCTAAGAAATCAACAAATCTTTAGAAATGATATCACGTTTTATATGCAGACTAAAGTTCACAAAGCTATTTTAAGATAAATTGTTCTACTAATCTCTCGTATATTTTAGTAAAATTTCATCACAATAAAACCAGCTTTTTTCGTTGATACTATACAACTTGACAAGTTTAAATACAAAAGTGGCACTTTGAAATATATATAAAGTATTTCCAATTTAATTTAATATTCTAAATTAACACTTTCAGTTCTTCTAAACAAAACTGTGTATATCTATTTTCAGTACTCACACATATTTTTTTATAAAACACGAATGCAAGTAAAATTTGCAGTGTTTTCTAAGGAATCTTGTGTTTTCTAAGAAACCAATGATAAATTTTATTTTAAAGCAATGCAATTTAAGACATCCGTTATCTCTTCAATCTAAATGATCATAGAAAGAACAATTACTCACCATCAGAGCAACATTACCAGTGTGAAACTTCTTTATTATTAAGCAATCTAACAGATAGTTTGGATAGATTTTACTAGTAGATGAGGTTCCTTAAATTTTTAATAGTTGAGGGACGTGGTAAGCTTAAGTTAAATAAATATGGGCTTAAATAACGACCCTTTCTCTAGTTCCATTTCAGGACAGGACGGTCCACTATTGACGTTTTGATGTACCTGTGCTCGAAAGTAGGAGTGAACTGGCTGGCACAACGCCCTTAGACCTATAAAACAGACACTCTGAATCACACCTGAATTTATCTATTTTACCCTCACTTCATATATCTACATCGTGAATGTTTAGGTCAAATTTTATTATGAAGTATTTTGTATTCTACATGGGTTAACGGATCTATTAGAGGTGTTGATTCCGTTACTACTTAAACAGTCCGACAGGTTGTATTTCAGCTAGGTTCTTCGGGCTTGGAATCCAGTGAATGTAGATTTAACGCGGCCGTAGAACTATAGATGTAATGTTTCAAATAACGATGCCGTTGCTTAAGGTTTCGTTATAATGTGCTGTTGTGGACGCGGGTTCGATCGTGGTCCGGGCAAGTACCAACAATGTGATTTTTCCGAGTCATATGTACTTTGTAAGAGTATTTAGACATCACTGATTCCCAAAAAGAGGGTTGATGTCAGGCTGGCGGCCGGTCGTTAAAACAAATAGCCAAAACTATTCACAACATGTAAGGCAGACCCTGGCTATAGCTGGGAAATTGCCAGGTAGAAGAAGTGCTCTGTTGTTATTACTTCTGAAGTGATAACTTCACTTGTGAGTTAATGTATGTGGTAATGTAAGGCGTAACTTCTCTGTCTGTTTTCCATTTGTCTCATATCATCAATATTAAACGCTAGCGGCAAAAGTAAACTGATTATAATTAATTTAATGTATATAATATATAAGTTATTACTTAAGGTTTGTATAAGTTACAAAAATTTTATATAAAATACATAGTTTGAGTTATCATTTCTTTCGAGCGTCCCGAACCGCATAAATTTGTTTATTTTCACTGAATTAATAAGCTGCAAATAAAGTCTTTTGAATGAACCTTAACTAATTAATTTAAGATTCATCATCATCAGGGTTATTAATTTCGTCGGAATTAATATAATATAATAAAAATACTTTAAAACTTGTACACATAACAAATATGTAGGACAGGAACAAAACAGGAAATTCTTTAGGGAGGGATCTTTCAAGGCGACAAGTTCTTTTCATTCATTCTTCAAAGCATTGCAACGTTTTATTTCGTCAATGTAGTGATTAAACTCATACAATCTCAGTAAAAGGATGTTAATTGATTGGACACAAATCCATTACTCCCGTTTTCTCCCCTTAAAGTAATGTCATTATGTCTAATCTAAATTAATAAGAGATGTTCTATGTTAGCCTGCCTTTATACATATAAATATTATAAAAAGCCAGTACGTTTATTCATTTATATCTTTGTCAATATGTTCGTAAATAATATTTGGTTCAATAAAATAGACTTTCTTTTCGTAAAGTTATTATTACTCGTATTAGTATTAGCTAGTACATACAATAATTTCTTACGTCCATGTTTTTGAAGTGTGTTATCAATTACATTTTTACCATATGTTAATAATACTTTTTTTCTTCTTAATAAAAAATATTTATTTAAAATACACAGTTATTATTCAACCATCAACGATATTATTTCCACAGTTGGACATAATTCTTGCCTCTTTTGAACGAGACAAAGAAATTTCTTTTTGACATAATATAAGTTTGAATCTTTAAAACTGTTAATTTTTTTATAAATATTAGAGAGAAATTGACGAAAATTGTTAATTGACAATGACATATGAGTAATGTTCCTATGCAGTAGTAAGTTCCTCAACAAAGACAGCTAAAAATACTCCTTATGAAATGTAATAATGGAATATTGTGTTGATATTATATACGAAACTATTTTGTCAGGCACATATTGCGAAACATTCCTAGGTAGACTTTTTTAATGATAAAAATATAATAAATCATTGAAGTATGGACATTTTCATAATATATAAAAACATAGTGTCAGATAAATGGTGCAATGCGAAAATGATGCATTTAAGTTATGTAATTTATTCAAAAATTATTACATTGACTTCGTATAGATTTAGTTTTACAAATTGACGCTCATTAGTATAACTCACTTAGATAAAATTATAAGACCATTACTGAAATCAGAGGTCTTAACATACATACTAATAGTGAGTAATAAATCAATTCACTGACCTCTACGTACTGTCCGAAGATGGCCATCATTTTATCGTCGTAATGTGTTGCGAGGGCCCGCAGCAGGTCGCAGGCGGCGCGGCGTCTGGTCGCAACGTCTGAACCTTCGATATCACGCCACACATCCTCCTCGGGATTATCTTCAAACAACTCGATATCTGATTCTGGAAAAAATACATATATACATACATTATCTTCAAAGGAAACGTATAGAAATCCGTCCGCTTTAAGTACTGGCAGCTCATTCCCTGTTGGACATTATATATTGTACATTATATATTCTGTTTAATAAGTATAATGAAATATCTGATTTGTGGCATATCGTAGGCAATAGTGCAAATCCGCAAATTAAACATTAAATTATAACTAAATGTCGAAAAATTACCTTAAAAGTCATTACTGTGGAAAATATTTCAAATTAAATTTTCTTGTGATAATCTGCTTCCAATGTACATAAGCGGAATTATCCAATGGTAGTCACGCGGATATATGTGTATCAATGTATATAAATTTATCCTATCAAAGCTTGTTATTTAATGTAACAATGTGAATTTGCCATAAGTTACCAATCCCATTTCTTTACTATTTTATACCAACACAGAATTTTTTATATAATTTAATAACAAAATTTCCCATGTGTACAGCTGGGTTTACACATGAGTTTTCGCAAAATATTCCAATCTCTTACCATCGGGTCGTTAAGTTAAGTTCCTAAGTTAGTTTTAACTTAACTAATTACGTTAATTACTAAGGAACTAATTTGAATTCATTTGGAGATTGGTGTAAAAAAATATCTTCATTTTACACACTGATAAAATATTATTCACGCCCAAACAAAACGGTATATGGATGATTATGGATGGTTCTAATACATATTAAATTTAAGAAATATACTTTAATTAACCGTTGACAATTGTTATTAAATAATTAATTATAAGTTATGTTTAAATTCCACGTAATTTCATGAGGCGATGAAAACTTTACGGACTTTTTCGCGAAGTTTAATGCGAAGAAATCCCAAGCGTTTTGGTTAATATTTTTTAATAGTTACATAAAAAAAACACTCAGACTTACAATATTGCACTTGAGTATATAAAGGTATTATAAAGTTTTTATTTTACAAAAAGTATCACGTATATTATTCCTACTTGAAGAGATCTGAATAAATTTTAAGACATTATTACTTTATGATTATGAAAAAATAGGGCACAAATATCCTGACATGACAGATAAATATAAAGAAAAAAGGACCTCATGCAAGACATTAAAGAGACCAGATCCATTTGAAGTGTCTAATTCTATTAATACAATGATAACATTTTCAAATAACACCTTCACCTCTAACACAATTTACAACAGAAAATTCTAATCTAATTACTTCCTATACATTATTAAAACACAGAACTTTATATAACAAAGAATTGCACTTAAAGTCACTCATGCTTTTGAAATTAAGATTTCATAATAGATCACTGATCCTCAGTTTTTGCTACGTTTCTCACACTTACTTAAACCGATACCGCTTCCTACATAACATAATACAATGAATATTAACTGTTACATGATCTGTTGCAGTAATGTATAAAAAATATTTAAAACTTAACACTTTGTATTTTTACTTTTTGACAAGAGACGTTACAGTCTTATCAAGTTCATTAAGCATATCTTAAACACGGCACTAATAAAAGATAAAACTTTTAAGCTTTCATCTGGATTTACACATTTATCTTAAAAAGGACAACTTTAGTATAAATTTGAGTATAAAGAACATAAAGATAACTTTTCCTCCAAATATATACAAGGATCTTTAAAGGTCTTGTTAAGAAATTGGCTCCCCAGACCATAATAGTTTGCCGTAATCGTTTTTTTAAGGTATGGTAAAATGTGAATAGGGTCAAAATCAATTACGACAATGGTTATAGAGTTTCTTTTCTAGAAAATATAGGATGTAGTGGATATATCATCTAGGATGGAGACATCGTATAACAGATAACCCCATCTGCAACTACATATAACATCCAAAGTCATAGAAAGAAAGAAAAGTATATCAAAAAGAGAAAGAGAAAATACTCAAGTATTATGTACTTTTACATACTTTTTTGTGTGAGAAGTGCATTTTTAGAAGTCGTATATCAAAGTTTACTGAAGACTGAAATCTTGTTTACACCCTCCAAGTGTTGGAAGTAATGTTCATATTTTAGCTGTTGGCATATTGAACGAATCATATAGTCTTATTATGAAACTTTAACTTAAGTATTGCAACGATTTCTAATTATTTTCAGCGATTAACTTCAGTGTATCTATACTGCCACTCCATACTTTTTAAATATCATTCGTTACCTAGCCGCTGGAAGGCTTTTCAAATAAATGAATCTGACAGCGGCATGCTTATCCAAGAGATGGGTGAGCAATTGTTAAAAAATTATAAATTTTCGTGTGTTTCTTTGTTGTGTCTATATTTAATACGAGTCAAAACAAAAAAATCAATTCCATCGAAATTATTTTGATAAACAATGTTAGATTTAGAAGGATGAAAGTTACTTACCGGAGAAGTAACCATGTGTCAATACATATTCTGGAGAACAAGGTTGGGGAAATATACTTTAAGTATACACACAGTATAAGGAAGGTGAGACCAATAGTAAATCGCTACACTTCCGCCACCTTTTCCGATACCATGATTTTGTATTCAATGAAATCAAATATACCAGGAAAATAATTCACGTCATTTTATACGTTAATGTGGGCATTATTAAAAAATCAGGTAGTCTTAGAAACGTGAATTGACAGTGATGTTAAGAGGATGGAGGTCTGAACGATCAGACTATTTTCATCTGAAATATACATTGACGAAAATGAAAGAAACTAGTGACTATCAATACTTTATAAACAACAAATTAAGGACATTAAATTTTAACATATTAATATTAATAAACAAAGAATACTTTTATTTACATAAACAAAACACAAAAGACTAAAAGTATAACGTGAAAATACAAATTACTAAATAAACATGTGAAGCAATTAAAATTTATCTATAGCTTTGTTTATTATTATTTATCTAATAATTAAAAATGACTTGAAAATCTACTTATTTTTACTCCCTTTACTTATTTTTCAAAACTATGTACACTAACACCATAAATATCACTGAACAACAATAAGATGAATATCATTCAGAGAACATTGTAAGAATACCGATCCCTATAAACCGTCCCAATATGGACTACTGTATTTCAGAATACTAAAGAAATATTCATTTTAGTTTCACGTTCTATATGTGGGAGTATCAAATCACGCCCGCTAATGTTTCTTATTAAGATATGTGAGGTTAAACCATTGAAGTCTGTTAATTGACGACCATTACCGAAGGTCCAGTAAAGAACCGCCTTTGGGTTAACCATTAACGTAAGTCTTCATAACTTCCCCAAATTTTTCACATACATACAAAAGTCCAAAGAGATCCAAAGAGTTCCCCCAGAGAGCATATAGAAAGTTATGTAAAAATTAGTAGGTACCGGTCCATCTCACACTCTTTACCGAAATGAAAAGAAATACTTTCTGACAAAAAATAAAATATTATACAATAAATATTTATTTATATGTAATCTAGCACGTTACTATTTAAAATAAATATTTTATTTTTATTGGTAAACAATTAAAAATATTAAGATTTTTTATAATATTTCTTAATTTTATAAACGCTAAAAACTTAAAACAACAATAAGACAAAAAATCTTTTACATAAATAACCACATTTATATTACGTCAATTTTTTTTTAAACAATAAAATCAACGATGTAATAAAAAGACTATTAGTTAGTGATACACATTATTATTGTCATAAATTTTGTTTATATTGTTTGTATAAAAGTCCTTTTTAATTTTTAAAAATTACTATTTTTTGTGGTTGAAAGGATAGCTATGTATTTAGTAAACGAAAGAACTATCAGTCCCACTGACCGACGCGGGTATATGTGTTATGGTATTTGACGCGGGTATAGGAAGGTTAAAAGATGAAGAATTTTTTTTTTGTTTTATATTTGAAAAGGAAAATATTTATTTCATTTCACAACAGTAATGAATTCATTTCGATTACAAAAATGAAGTGTTATTTAATTGAACTTACTCTCAGTAAATGAAAGTGAATCCAAAGTAGATACCGAATCGAAGCGTTATACGTGTCCGCAAATTATCCGTTTCATTGAAGTGGTCTTTTGTAAACCACATTTTTTGTTTTTTGGTCTAACTTTAACACAAATAAAGCGGATGGTTTCCAAACTCGTGAACACGCAGAATATAACTGCCCATCTATAAAACAATGATTTTCTAAATCTATCCCGCAAATACTAAATGGTTTTAAGAGTTCAAACTACAAACACAATACCGGTTTGTCACATGAAATTAACTGAGCAGAGAACAATGAGTAGCTGTCAAACAATGTATCATGCACTCGCGCCATCTACTTAAAATATTGATTTGTAGTATAGTCAGGATGGAAAACCAGACTTATTTTTAAATAGTAGAAGATCTCTTACAAATATCTAATTGTAATCATTACGTCATTACATATCTGTCATTATACGTCAATTGCATATCTGTCAATTGTGTTTCGTTATTCCACGTTTTATAGTGACGGACGTTTCATGTCAAGTCCCACGGGAATGCTGTCGAACGGGATAAAAAGTATCCTATTGCAATTTCCTGGCTCTAAACTACCGCCCTGCCAATTTTCAGCTAAATCGGTTCAGCCGTTCTTAAGTTATAAGTGGAGTAACTAACACGACTTTTTTTATGTATATATGTAGATGACGAAATTAACGCGGATGAAGTCGCGAGCTAAAACTAGTTTTTTATATAAGACGATAATTTATGTATTTTTTATGTATTTCCAAGACTATTTACATGTTATATTTTATCAATGTCAATACCAAGTTACTTTAATCAAGTTAAGCAAAAAATGTCTTGAGGTTGTATTTAATTTGGCGAAGCTGAGAACTAAATTTCTCTAAATTAACACAACATTTTTGAATAGACAGATAGTAATTGATCTAACTACCATCATTTTTTCAGACAATTTATTTCATTAAAATAAGAGTAAAATTTATTTTACAATTTAAAACTTTTTTCCTGTGTATAGGATTTATAAAATTAACGTTTTTACTGTTTCGAGCAATTTATTATTATTTGAAAGAACTGTTTTCGAAGTTTTACTGTTTTTGGAAGATAATTATAACTTATCACTAAATGATTTGCAAACCGTAACCACTAAAAAATCAACCACTAAACTGTAAAAATAACGAATCTATATAGTTCCTATTCGCTAAATTATATTTATTATGTAAAGATTTTAATTATTTATTAGTGAAACGAAAACTGTGTATTCCTTCTTAAGAGATTACGGAAGGAGATGAACGTAGCAACAACAGGGACAAAATTTATATGGTAAAGAAGTATTAGAAATACATGAAATTATTTAATCTAATCGTTACTTGACTTTCACTTTCCCGTACACCTGTAACACCTCAATTCGCTAAAATTACTTACTGTTTATCACTAAATGTCAAACATGACATTTGCATTTCAATATTGTACTTGAAATATGGATATTATTATAGTCGACCCGATCATGTATAGTATAAAGGTAGTATTGAGGCGTTTTATAATAGAATCAGTATGCATCTAATAAATAGAGCTTTGTCTTCTAATTAATACCATGTATGTTTTGCGAATGTGAATGGAATATTACGTTACTCCAATACTTGCTTCCAAAATATTCCATATTAGATGTTAATATACAAACAATTGTTTATTCTTTAAAGATTTAGTGCAATTTAAAGAAATACATATATATAATAAATAGATATTCACCAAATTTTATTTTTCATTTAGTTTTGTAGGCAATGTAAGTTTTTTAATTGTCTTGTAATTCTTGTAATAATCTTTTGTCTCAAATTAAAGTTATCATTTACCAAAATATTAATTATTATTAATGTTAAATAGTCAAATTTATAACATTTACCCTTTTTTCTTTCCTGCCCCTATCGCACTTTATGTAGGGTGGGCAAAACATGTTATTCTCTTCCACAGAACATGTTGTAAATAGTTTTGGCTAATTGTGTTTTGCGACCAGAAGCCTGCCTGACGTCAACCCTCTTTTTGGTAATGCATTTATTATTTCAAAAACTATGTACATATTCCCTTGAGTATTCCCCTCGACGAAAATCAATGATATCAATAACAACAAGTAATAGATTTAAAAAAAAAGACCGTACCTCTTTCTGAAAGCCCGGCAACGCACTCTGGTGCCTTCTAGCTCTTCGAGTGCTCATGGGCGGCGACGACCATTTACCATCAGATGGCTAGCCTGCTCGTTGGCCCTTTATGATATTAAAAAAAACATTAATAAATTTTGAAAATATAAGGTTACGTATTCAACACATGCACACACACTCGAACAATCGTTGAGAGACTAGCTGTGGTCAAGTACCTAACTACAGCTCGAGCATGTGCCGGCTCGTCCGGGGAAGTACCACCCTCTCACAGAAGATCGGCGTGAAGTAGCCTTTAATGGCTGCGTTTCGTCTGATGAGTGAGAGAGCCGGTTGCCCTAACCCTATTCCCACCTTTTCCTGACATTCGTTTAGTCCCACCCTTCCTTATTCTTTAAAAACAAAGGTTGGCTACGCATCCGCAACTTCTCCTATGTTGCGAATGTCTATGGGCGACGGTAACTACCTTCCATCATGTAGGCCGTCTGCTCGTTTGCCACCTTTCACATAAACGCAAACGGTATAACTTACGCGACACTGTTTTATTTAATTCAATATATAACAACAAACAAGAATACTATGCGAGGATAGTAATCCTAGTATGTAGTAATACAAGTATATGTTGTATTCCAAGGATGTTAGAAACGTTATACTGTACGTAAATGTTTTATTGCAGGGACTTGCTTACCGCGTAAGACAGATTGACTGCCCCCCAGTTCAGTTACCGTTTCAGCACCAATAACACCCAATTTCATTAGAATATAACCTTTAATCAAATCAAAACTTTTATGCTATAAAACTGCACTAATAATAAAATAATATTTGGAACTTGAATAAGATATCTTAATAAAAATATTTTTTAATTTATTCATTTTTGCAAAAATATGTTATAAATTTATATACCTTCACTACACCCTTATTTTTACTTAAAATCTTAATACATAAGGCCAACGATGCAGGCAACGTTAAATACTTCATACTTTGAAAGTCATAAGTATGTGATTCAATTTCTGTTAATAATTTGCCGGCAAATGAAATTCATGATTGCTTCCTTTGAAAGAGTTATAAACAGTGTCTTTTTAATCAGGAAAATATTATTTTAAGTTTTAAAACATTATGTAGAAGTTTACATAAATTTAAACAGTATTTCTAAGTAATATATTTCTATAAACTAAAGAGCTAAGTCTATTAAGGTGACAGCTACACAATGCAGCATTAACAGCTATGTGATTTGACATTAAAATACTTTAGACACTCCTCCTGTTTTTCTTCTTTTTACGTAACATAAAATCAAGAAAGACAGAAGTGGATCAGTGTTGTTTGTTGAGTTATTACTCATAAGCATTTATAAAATATATAATAAAAGTTAAAAAATGTATTTACCGATTTAAAAAGTAATTATAGTTTGTAAAATATATGTATAAGCGGCTTACTTCTTTAACACTAAACCATGTCCAGAGTTACTGCAAATTACTTTTTCATATAATATTAAATCCTGTTCGTCTGATAATAATCCTTGCTATTTCATCTGCTAGATGGTGTACATTCATAGTTAGTATCAATGGTGTTACATCTATATATACCAAGTACATATAGATGTGTGTGTACGTGTATCAATCTCTATAGCTTGGGACACATATGTGTGAAAATACTAATTAATTACAATATTTCTTATTTTTCATTCCTTTAAAAATATGTTTCTGTAACTAACGTGTAATTTATTGAAATTCACATTATGAAGATATTTATTAATTTTCATAAAACATATTTATCTTAACTTTGACTTTAAGAAAATATAAAACTAATTATAATTACCAACGAATTAACTAGTAACTAAAGTTTTTTTGTACCATATCAATGAGGTAATTTTTTTAAAAAACATTTTATAAATTTAATTTCCAAATAGTGCACTATTTGAAAATTAAAAGAATAATCCTGCTTGTAAACTAACAAGATTTCCTTTTATGAATATCGTTTCAAGGTTTATTACAAACGTTACGTGCTACATACACTATCAACTTTGTGCATCAAAGACTTCAAGCATAAAAAGTCCACACTAAGCACTGATTGTGAGTGTATCAAGTTGCTTCCAGTCATGTACTAAATTATGGAAGCATACAGTAATTTTTAGTGCGTCTATACATGTTAATCTACACTCTGTATACTTTTATGGCAGACGTAGATAAAAAAAAATCATATAGCATGCTGGTATATATCTTTTCCGCTTTTATCATAATATTTATATGCTATGCCAAACTACATACCTCTTAAAAGAATCGAGAGAACAAACGAACATAGAATTTAAAACAGTCAGTTCACAGAGCTATTCTTTGATAAATTGTTATAAATCCATAAACAATTTAAAATACCATTACGCACGTGTTAGAAAATGTATTAAAATATTAAAATAATATATAAGAAAAGGTAGATTTATATACATATTTCGAATAAAACAATTCATTAAAACATCTAATAACATTTTATTTACTGGACATACTATAATTTTACAATATATCGTCTTTCGTAAAGGGAAGCTATACAATATAATATACTTATCTCGTCTATATAGTCTTTCGGTAATCGTTTCTTTAAGAGTCACTGCTCAATAGTTTCACTATAACCACAGGGTTTCAATCGAAGTTCTGGCCCAGGCTGCTGTCCGATGTCAAGTCCTTTGCCTCGGCGAAGAGCAATGTTTTATAGGTCCTCCGAACACCACACGATATTCAAGATATTTACTTTTTAATTGTAACAAAATATATATTGAAAATATAAATCTTATATATGTATAATGAAAACATAACTCTTAAATAATAGAAAATATTTTAGTACATAATATTTAGAAAGCGGGTTCCAATTTAACAGTATACTAAACACACATTTGACATGTTACCGCTTTTGTACCTAAGTCTTATCCCTACTTTTTAATAATAATTCCTTAATTATAAATCAAATAATATTCTAAATACAATAAAATATTATTTTAAAGATTTAACAGTTTTTAAACAAAGCTGACTCCAATATAATTATATAATAATAGTATATTAGACATTCGTTTGACAAATAATTGACGACACAACACTTTTGTAAGTCAAATCCTAACTATTCGATTATTTAAACTGTAAGTGATCAAGATATATATTTAAATACAAATAGAATATTTAATAAACATTGTATAATTATAGAACATATATCCTTATACGGCCATACTGACATGTACTTCGTTCTCGAAGTACACTTAAACTCTCTACTCATTAATTTTCAACATACAAAAACAAATTTTGTACTATTATACCTACTGGATGACAATCCTTCATATTAACTGCAATCTTTGGGCTACATATGAAACTTATCTATTAATATTAATCTTCGTTCTTAATCGTTATATAATAAGTAACAATATAATCTGTAATAAACACGGTATATTCAATAGCAAGTTATCCTTACTTTGCCCAACCATACACCCGTTATCGGTGAAGTTAAATCACCCGCAGTCAGTGAATGCTGAACAACGGTTAAGTCATCTATCTCAAGTCAAGTCAATTATTCAAGTCAAATCAAGTCAAGTCAATTATCATATAATTCAGTTTTTTTTCCTTTTCTTTTTTTTTTCTCTAATCACCTTAAGTGATCTCTCATAATCACACCTTACTTTGAACGACCAAACACCCGCAGTCGGTGAATCTGAATCACCCGCAGTCAGTGAATGTTGAACAACAGTAAAGGCGTCCATCTCAATATTATCATAAACTCACATCACCTTAAGTGATCCTCTTTAATAATCTCACCTTACTTTGAACGACCAAACACCCGCAGTCGGTGAATCTGAATCACCCGCAGTCAGTGAATGTTGAACAACAGTAAAGGCGTCCATCTCAATATTATCATAAACTCACATCACCTTAAGTGATCCTCTTTAATAATCTCACCTTACTTTGCACGACCAAACACCCGCAGTCGGTAAATCTGAATCACCCGCAGTCAGTGAATGTCGGCAACAGCTAAGGCGTCACAGTATTATCACTTCAAATACTCACAAAGCTAGTAAGTCATCCTCCAAAGCAGAGTTTTGTTCCACCCATTCACCAGCCATACCTGAAGTTCTTCTTTAGCAACTACAATATTTCTTAAGTTGCCAATGCCTCTTAATGAGAATCTGTAACTGTCTAATTTACCCGTTACTACATAAGTATACCTACCCGTTACTACATAATTATACCCGTTAGGCCGTTACTACATATGCTGTTCCTAAGGACATGATCAAAACGCTCCTTGAATTTATCAACCACAATTTTATGACGTTATTTATGCTATGTTTTAAGACAATATGTTATATAGGAAAACACTTGTAATGCTCGTTAAAACGGTTACAATACTAATGCCCGATATATTTAAACTGGCGGTATTTATACAAAAACATCTTGACCTTATTTAATATTTATTTTAAGAATATTTAATATTATTGAAGTTATATTTATTTTAAAATAATTTAATATTGCACCACCCTATACTGTCTTCCAAACGCAATCCTCTAACCCTAGGTAGTCTGGAAGAAATGGCTAATATGCCATAAGGCCGCCTTTTGTTTCACCATTACTTTATAGTTTGTATCTTTTGTAATTGTGGTGAACAAAAAAAAAAAAGTTAAATAATAAAATATATAATATTAAATTTGCAAACTTAAAAGATATATTAAACTTTATCTTAATTATTGTAATGATTATTTACGGACAAATATTATTTAATAATACAGGAATATGTAACATTAAATATTAAAGATTAATATATTACACTGGAAGTTGATGAGCAGCAGATAATCTAGCCAAATCGGTAAAATAAGATTCTAGTAGAATAATCCTTACATTATACACAATAAAACAAAACTATAGCATTGATTAATCGACATAATTTGAGAAAATATAAATAACAATAAGCACTATTTATTAATTGAGCCGGAAGTATTAATTGATAACAGTTTCTTTCAGCTGTTACATCTACAATTTCAATTTAATTATTATTTATCACTGTCTAGTCGATTTTATATGGCAGGAATATTAGAGATTCTACCGATAACTATGTATTTACATAGGAGAAAAACCAGTCACTTTTAAGAGTTTTTGTAATTTTGGATAATTGAACTTTCCACAAACCGCTCGGCCAGTCTGACACATCAGTAAAAAAAATGTATTAATCATATTTGTAATCATTAAGATATATTGCTTTACCTGACCATTATAACGTGACGTGAGGGTAGACATATGGTGTCTAGCTTGCCATTCGTTAAATAACTCTTACATTGGTGTCTGCTTCCTTTCCAAAGTGTGGCAGAGCGACATCATTATGCCGCTGACTTACTCGCTGATGATCTTCAACAGACCTTCCAGTAGTATATTCGATTCCATAAATCTGAAAACAAGTTATAAGTTATTTAATCTATAAATAAATTGTTAATTGGATTGGGCGAAGAGATTTTGTGATCTCACTTCTGATGTTAGAAAATGTATTAAAATATTAAAATAATATATAAGAAAATGTAGATTTATATACATATTTCGAATAAAACAATTCATTAAAACATCTAATAACATTTTATTTACTGGACATACTATAATTTTACAATATATCGTCTTTCGTAAAGGGAAGCTATACAATATAATATACTTATCTCGTCTATACACGCATTACCTCCAGTATATTTTAGTACATTTCATCACAATAAAACCAGCTTTTTTCGTTGATGTTATACAGTTTGACT